AATATTTACTTGAAGTAATTGATTGTGATATTTTCTAATTGTAATATTGATTAGCATGGGAAACGATTTACCATGAAGGTGGATCAGCTGTTGATGCCGTCGAAAGAGGATGCTCTCAGTGCGAGGTTGACCAATGCGATGGTACCGTCGGGTGGGGCGGAAGTCCCGATGAAAACGGAGAGACGACACTTGATGCTATGATCATGGATGCGTAAGCTTATTTTTAATTGTTCTGTTGATCAGTCAAATGATTGTTGTACCTTTTCAGGACAACTCATGATATTGGTGCAGTTGGGGCACTTCGAAGGGTCAAACAGGCCATTTCGGTCGCTCGAAAGGTCATGGAAAACACGAATCACACTTTATTGGTCGGAGATCAAGCGACACAATTTGCCCTCTCATTGGGATTTCATGAGACAAGTTTGACTTCAGATAAATCGAGAAAAATTCAAGCCGATTGGATAAATAATTCCTGTCAACCTAATTACTGGATTAATGTTAATCCAGATCCAATGTTACAATGTGGACCTTATCATTTACCACAATCAGATAAACTAATCAAATCAAACACAATTGACAATCCAAATACAATTATCTCATCTTCTGAATCAGAAAGAGGTCATGACACCATTGGGATGATCGTAATTGACTCAAATGGACTGATATCAACGGGCACTTCGACTAATGGACTGAGTCACAAAATCCCTGGGTAAGATTAACTCTCTCAATCTAATTGTTGTGATTAAATGTTTTTCCTCTCAATTAATTGATGATCTGTTTTTCCAGTCGTGTCGGTGACTCTCCGATTCCTGGAGCTGGTGCTTATGCCGAAAAGGATGTCGGTGCTGCTGCTGGTACAGGAGACGGTGACATCGCCATGAGATTTGCTCCGGCGTAAGTTAATTGTCCCAAAATCGAGTAAATTAATTTCTCACTAATTAGTCTTATCTTTTAGGTATCAAGCTGTCGTTAATTTAAAACTCGGTATGAGTCCAACAATCGCAGCTAAAGATGCCATTGAACGGATGGCAAATTATTTTCCAAATGCTATGTTAGCTTTAATTGTCGCAAATAATCAAGGAGATTTCGGTTAGTAACCAAATTAAGTTTACTTATTTTAATCTCGATCTAATTGTATCTCGTTTATTTCTAATTGAAAAGGTGCTGCTTGCAATGGAATTGAAACTTTCCCGTTCTCTGTAATTAATCCAAACCAATCAAAAGTAACAGTTTATCGTGTTAATTGTACAAATCCAATCAAACCAAGTCCACACTGAACGTTGGTCAATAAACAGAATCGAGATTGTAATCACCAACGAATCAAAGTCTTCAAAGTTACCAATTAACCCGTTATAATGTGTCCAAAACACTCGATAATTACAATTAAAGTGCAATTTATCCTGGGGCATCATCATAAAAAGAACAACATGATTATGAGTCATTTTTATTTGTGATTATTATTTTTGATTCTCGATTATCTTCAGATTCCAAAAATTCAAATCTGCGTCTCTGAGTTTTTATATTAATACATTCGTTACAAAGAATGGATATCGAATATCGGATAACCGATATTTTGCTTCGATAATTTTCGTTTTTTTTCTGTTCTGTTTTTTTGGCAATTTCAAGTTCAGTTTTGATTTTCTCTTAGTTAATTGTAAATCAATTTGTTTTGATTGATTCATAGTTTAATAGAGAGAGAAAGTGTCTATTCGAATATTGTACAATGGGTGCTGATCCGTTGTTCGAAATGAGAAATGCCTTCTACATTGGTAACTTTCAGAATTGTATCGAATCTTCAATCGCTTCGTCTTCTTGCCATGTACCATTCGGAGAAAGATGTTGACGCTAATGAAGCGGTTTCTTTAAGAATTCAACCTGATGCTGGATTAAGAGTGTTCCATGCTTCAAATTTACCTAATGTTAGTTTGTATGTAATAGCTTCAAATTGTTAGTGAGTTAATCGTTAATGGTTTATGATAATCAGCTAACTGATTATCTAATGATGATTTATCTTGATTGGAGTTAATCAAGGTCGAGAAGCCACCACAGGCATTTAACAAGTGATGGTATAAGAAAAAACAACTTAAACCATTTTACATTGTAAATTGCTCTCAGTTGAATAGTAACCGTTTCGGTGGTAAGATTAACAATTAATAACTAAAATTTGAGTTCTCCAATCGTGACAACAATTAAGTTTCAAATGGATATTTCATTTAAAGGAAAACGAGCCCTTGTAACCGGAGCAGGAAGAGGTAAGTGACTAATTAACTTAATCATGACCATTGATTGTTACAATTTCCAATTACAATTATAACTGATTCCAGGAATTGGACGAGATACAGTTAAGCGTCTTGTTAAATTAGGTGCAAAGGTCGTGGCCTTAAGTAAGACCAAAGAGGGTCTTGAATCACTTAAATTAGAGGTAAATTGTTGAAAATTTCCCGTTAACCTTGAATCCAAACTCACCTGAAGGGGTCAAATAGATTAACCTGTTAACCATTGACCCTTTGTTAGCCTTGACAAGATGACATTCTAGTAAGACAAATATCCATTCAATCAATTTATTAATAGTTACCAGAAATTGAAATTGTTCAATGTGACCTTGCCAATTGGGATGAGACCAAAAAAGCAATATCTTCATTGGATACAATTGATTTGGTTGTTAACAATGCTGCTTATGCTAAATTGGATCCAATTGGTTTGGTTGATGAGGAAACTGTTGACCTGTAAGTGGACAACAATGACCATTGTAATATCACAATTAACTATCTTTTCATTAATAAATAGGCACTTCAACATTAACGTCAAGTCGATCATCAATGTTACCCAAGAAGTGGTGAAAAAATTGAAAGCCCAAGGCAAACCAGGATCAATTGTGAACATCTCAAGCCAAGCGGGAATGGTGGCCTTACAAGACCATGTCGCTTATTGTGCTTCCAAGGGTGCGGTTGATCAGATCACTCGTGTTTCAGCCCTTGAACTTGGTCCATTCGGTATTCGTTGTAATTCAATCAACCCGACGGTCGTTGAAACCGACATGGGTAAAAAAGGCTGGTCTGATCCCGTTAAGCGCAAATGGATGATGGACCGAATTCCGTTGCAGAAATTTGCTTCGGTTGATGATGTGGTCGACTCAATTGTCTTCTTATTAAGTGATAAATCAGCAATGATCAATGGTGTTATATTGCCCATCGATGGTGGATTTACAGCTTGTTAAGCTCGATTACAATCAGTTGATCGTTTTAATTTGATACCAATTAAAGTAGCAATTAATTGATCGTTTTTGTTTTCGCTTCAAAGATTAACTTTTAATTTCATTAAACCATAAATTACAAAACTCCCAGAAAAATTGTTGATTATTAAACAGGATTGCTTTTTTTATGATTGCGAACGATTATTATTAAATCATTAATTATGATCAAATTAATTTACAAAAAAATGTAGATTAGTATTTTTTAGATTTACCTGGTTTACCTAATCCAGTGTCTTTTTTGTTAATCTTTATGTACTCTGGCATATCAGGCGAGGGGATTACGGTTGTTGTGTCCGAATCGTTTGGTGGATTAACACGTAACTATTAATAATATTAATAGAGTAGATTATTAATCAGAGTGATTTTATCGTAATTGTGATTAACTTACCAGAATCCTTTGTTTTTCAGCGCAAGCATATTCGGTCTCATCGATGTCGTTATAACAATCTGACCTTGAATTTTTGGGAACATTTTGGCCTTGATATTCACAGAGTTTATCCAATGGTATCGACTTGACGATCATTTTTTTGAGGTCATCGGGCTTTTCTTGGGGACAATAGAAAACTTTTGGTGTTTTAATATCAAAGACGATGCTTTTCCTCATCATGTCTCCCTTGACCACCACCCCAAGGGTCAGTGCAATTGCAACAATCAACTTGACACCTTTAAAAGAGACAAAGAAATGACAATTATAATTTGAACCAAATGGTCAGTTAATCTTACCCATTATTTGGATGAATGAAGTGAGGTGAATGTTTAATCACTGATACAAATGATCAACTTAATTGTTACACAGACTTTGAATTATTGGAACTGAATTAAAAGTAAGAGACAAAGATGATTGTGTATTTCCATCTTCTTGATTCGGATTAAGTAAACCGGTTTAAATCTAATTGTTCATTTTTAGCTTCTTCTTTTCTTGGATAATCTTTTTTTCTCTTTTCATGGTTATCCGGTTCTCGTTAATTGTTGTTTCATGAGAATCAGGTACAATATAACTATTAACAGTTTTCACTTGAGAATGAAAAAATTTAATGATCTTATTATCATCAATCCAATTGTCACAAACATTTTAACTCTCATCATATATTTCCGATGCATTATGAGTTATTGTTTAAAAAAAGGTTCGAAAACAAAAGGTTCCCCGTTCTCTGTAATTAATCAAACCAATTGAAAGTAACAACTTATCGTGTTAATTGTACAAATCCAATCAAACCAAGTCCACACTGAACGTTGGTCAATAAACAGAATCGAGATTGTAATCACCAACGAATCAAAGTCTTCAAAGTTACCAATTAACCCGTTATAATGTGTCCAAAACACTCGATAATTTAATTGTAATCAATTAAAGTGCAATTTATCCTTGGGCATCATCATAAAAAGAACAACAAATTCCAAATCGGTGTCTCTGAGTTTTTATACATTCGTTTGACAATTATTTTCTTTTCTTTGTGTATAATATTGATTGGAATTATAAGTTCCTCATATTCACAACAATTTACCCGTTAAACCCTTTGATTCATTTGATGGAACTTCCATTTTCTCTAAATACAATTTTAAGGTCACCACGGCCTGGGACAGGGTTAGGAACATACAATGTGCACATTTTAAACAATTAAAAGAAGGTGAAAAGGAATTAATTTGATGATAAACTGTCGATCGACACTAAGTTAGTGTCCAATTAATTTAGATGAAAGAATCGATATCGAATATCGGATAGCCGATATATTGTATCGATTATTTTTCGGTTTTTGTTTTTTTCTGTTCTGTTTTGTTGGCAGTTTGATTTTCTCTTTGTTTATTGTTAATTAATTAATTTGTTTTTGATTTGTTTTGATTAATTCATAGTTTAATAGAGAGAGAAAGTGTCTATTCGAATATTGTACAATGGGTGCTGATCCGTTGTTCGAAATGAGAAATGCCTTCTACATTGGTAACTTTCAGAATTGTATCAATGAAGCTCTCAAATGCAAAGTGAATTCTGAAGAAAAAGATATTCTCATGTATCGTTCTTATATTGCTCAGAAAAAGTATGGTGTTGTTCTGGATGGAATCACCTCAACAGCCTCATCGAATCTTCAATCGCTTCGTCTTCTTGCCATGTACCATTCAGAGAAAGATGTTGATGCTAAGGCTTCAATTGCTGAGAAAATTTTCTCAATGGCAAATTTTGCTATGAATTCGGAAAATGGTGAAGATTATGTTAAACTGTTGGTCGCTGCTATTGTTCATTGTAATGAAGCGGTTTCTTTAAGAATTCAACCTGATGCTGGATTAAGAGTATTACATGCTTCCGATCATATTGAATGTATTGCTATGATGCTTCAAATTTACCTAATGTTGGATCGGGTTGACCTTGCACGTAAAGAATTGAAAAAGATGCAAGAGAAAGATGAAGAAGCCACTTTAACCCAACTCGCTCAAGCCTGGATCAATATCTATGTTGGTGGGGAAAAGTTTCAAGAGGCTTATTACATTTATCAAGAATTGTCCGATAAATATGGACCAACTCCTCTTCTTTTGAATGGAATCGCTGTTGCCCAAATTGGCCAAGGAAAATATGAGGAAGTTGAATCCATTTTACAACAAGCACTCGAAAAGGATAACAACAATCCGGAAACATTGATCAATCTAATTCATGTTTCTCATCAACTTGGAAAACCACCTGAGGTTTGCAATCGATTCCTCAGTCAACTCAAAGATTCCAACAGCAAACATCCTTATGTTAGTGATCTCACATCAAAGGAAAATGAATTTGAAAGGCTGACAAAACAATACACTTTACAATTTGAATGAATTTCCAAGATAAATCCAGCAATCAATCAACAAAAATCAACAACAACAACAACAACAACATAATTCAAATTTAATTTCCTATTCACATTCTGCTGATTTGTTTGATTCTTTTGTATTTCAAGTTTTTTTTTTCTAATTGTCAAGAAAGATTTTACAATCTATTCTCATGCTACAATTAAGCAACACTTGAATTTCAACAGATTCTAATTCAACAATCAGAGAGATCATTTTCTTAAAAATATCGGAAAGTAACATAAAATTAAATTGATTGTAATAATCAATGATGATGCCACCATCTTCAATTAATCCAACCATCGCCTCCACTAATAACCAAGTCACTGAAAGAACGGAAAACAACAATTAATTGATTACAATCTGAATCTTTTCTTTTTCTAATTATCTATTCTGAATGATTAACATAACTTTTTATATTTTAATTGCGGAGAATATTTTTCTTTTTTGTTTAAATCAGTTCATAGTTAAATGTAACTCACGATAAATCAAAATGAGTTGAACTAAAAATTAAGATCAATCAACTAAATTGTTACCAAATCAAATTAATCTTAATAGTCTTTGATTTTAGCTGTTTTATCTTGGAATTAAATTAACTAAGGAATCGTTTAATTGTAACAAAAAAATCTCTTTTCCATCTAAATGATTAACTAAATTCCAGTGAATATGTTAACATTAGATGATTAATTCTTACAATTTAATTTTACAACAAAAATCTGTAACAATTAATGAATTAAAACTTATATTTGAAAAGTGTAACTTTAATTGTCTCATTTGACTAACAATTTATCAATGAAAACTGAGATGAAATTTATAGTTAATTGTTGTAACCAATCAAATCTTATTGCTGATTAAATTACTTTTAATCAGTTAACCTGATTGTTGATTCAAGGTGATCATCTCATTGTGTTTAACTAATCACAGTTGTCAATTTAATGAATTAGTGATTCAATTGTTGGGAATATAATTAAGGACAAATTAAATCCAATGAAGTTTATTAAATTTGATTGAATGAAAGTTAAACAATTAGTTTGATGATTTGTGGGGAAAATGTTTGATAATTAATATGACAATTGAAAGCACTTTGTAGATACAAATCAGATATTTAATCTGATTACAATTAAGGCAATTAAGTATGATAGAAATTAAATTGTTGATGATTAACATTGTACTAAATTAATTAATGAAAATTTTGAGCTAATCAAAAAAACTGTTTTGTCAATCTATTGATATAAAAATTTGATCAAAATAATATTAATAATACATTTACAAAAATGAAAAAATTGACAATTAAAGTTAAAAAGTGATTAAGTGATGAGTCAAGATGAACAATTAGTACTAATTGTCAATTTGTAATTGAGAAATATCACAAAAAGTGAGTCTTAAGTTTAACAATTAAAAAAAACACGAAAAAAGGCCAATTGATTGTGACCATAAATTGATTGTCAAATTGATTAATCAGTTAATTCTTGAACGGCTTCAGAATATCCTTTTAATTTAGCGTATCTTAAGGCCGTTTTGCCGTCGGAATCTTTTATCATTTTATCGGCACCTTTTTCCAACAGAAGACGAATGATCTTAGTCTGGTCATTTAGAACTGCCAAATGAAGGGGTGTCCGTCCCAATGATCCTTTCGCGTTGATTGGTGACCCACAATTAAGAAGCGTTTGAACAATTATCGCGTTTCCTTGAGAGCAAGCAAAGTGCAACGGAGTATCATTTTTCTTGTCTCTAACTGCGACATTGGCCTTTCGAGTCAAAAGGAGCTCCAGTGTTTCAAGGTGTTCGTTTATTGTGGCCATGTGAAGAGCGGAATTAGTTTTGTCCTTTTTGGGATTAATTCGAGCTCCTTTATCGAGGAGCAGTTCAATGATCGGCACATGACCCATGGCCGCAGCTAAATTCAATGCGCTGTCACCATTTTTATCTCGTGAATTGATGTTGGTTTTATGGCTCAGTAGCAAGTTCAACACTTCGACTGACCCATTGTAAGCGGCCTCGTGAATGGGTCGACGTTTAAGTTTATTTTTAACATCGGGTGTCGCTCCATAATCAAGGAGAATCCGAACCGTTTCCATGTGACCTTTATGAGCGGCCAAATGTAAAGGTGTATCTTTCTCAGAGTCAACCATATTGACCTGTCCACCTTTAACAACCAAATGGTCAACAACCTCAGTGAACCCATTAAAAGCCGCTTTGTGAATGGGTGTTTGTTTCCGTTCATTTCTAACATTGACCTGAGCTCCACTGAAAGTCAACAGTTGAACTAACTTCAAATGGCCCAGTGAAGAGGCAATAATTAGAGGAGTATTTTTTTCATTATCTTTCACCTCTAGATCAATTCCCTCGAGGAGAATCAGTTGTCGAAGTGTCTCCTCATGACCCGAAAAACAGGCCACATGAAGCGCATTTCGACCTTCAGAGTTTTTATACTTTAAATTTGCTCCTTTGGACAATAAAAATTTAACAGCTTCCGCTTTTCCAGCTCGAGCAGCATAATGCAAAGGTGTGTTTCCATCGGTATCGATCATGTCAACGGCCACTCTTTGGGAAAGATGCAAAGCGATCACTTCGACCACTCCTCTTGCAGCCGCTTCATGAATGGTCAATGGTTCAAGTGACTTTCGTCTATCGAGTGTTTCGTTTATTATCTTTGTCGAATCGCAATCATCAATGGTTTTCGAGTTATTATTATCTTCATCGGAGAAAATTTTATAATTGTTGTCCACGATTGAACAACTACTATCGGGTGTAGGCCATCGACCTGATTCAGTTCGATAGAGCGATTCTCTTCTAGATTCGATCTTTTCAAAATATTCTGTTACAAATGAGACTTTTCTTCGACCAGTATAACCGTTCGGCGGTGAATTTGGACTACGAACCAACTTGTTATCATATCGAATCTCGTCATCTGATTTCATTCTGAGGTGCAAATTCAACAGCCGAGACAACGGATCTCGGCGTTGAATTAATTTGACCAAAGGTGAGGTAGTCGACTGGTCACTTTCCTTTTTAAAAAGACAATTATCTTCCTTTTTATCAGTGAAATTCGCACTGGTCTTCGTTTCGATTACTTTTTCTTTCGTTTCCTTTTCCTGTTGCTCTTCAATTTCTTCCTCTTCATCAGCCTCTTCAACTCTTTTCATTTTCTCTTGATAATTTAACTTCATTGACACAAAAGGTTGAACATGAGATGCGATCATCGTTGACGGCGAAATCAATGAAGGTGTTGATTCGTAGTTAATTGCTCTGGATTCATTCAATTGTTCACCATCAAGATCGTTTGTCATCTGATCTTCCAACAGGCTCTCAATGAATTGATTGTTTAATTTTTTGGCCAAACAAAGAGGAGTTAATCCTTCACTATTTTTAATATTCAAATTAATTTTGAATTGTTGCTCATTGGAAGTTGATTGATTAGTATAATGGTTGATGAAACATTGAACAATTGACTCGTTCCCTGTAGTTATAGCCAAATGAAGTGGAGTTTGATTATATGTTTCAACGGCTCCATCAACAGCTGATGTGTAATTATCATCAAAATTAGTAATTGGTAAAGTTAAACAATTAGAATCAGCCCCTGAGAGGAAAAACAATCAAAAACAAGAACAATTAACACAATTAAAATGCTCAAGTTACTATTAATTGTTAAGAGAGTCGAGAAACTAATTCAAATTACCAATAACTCAATCAATAAACAATGGGGATTGATTAATTGATTTGAATAAAATAAAGCAAATTAATCGAGAAGTTCACAATCAAGTGAAAAACGATATCGTTTGAAACAATTACAATTGTTAAATTAGTAAATTCTGTTATTAAAACAAAGTGTATCAGCTGAAAATATCATCTAACAGTTAATATTAACAGTAGAATTGTTTAAATCGTGAAAATTAACTCAAGGAATTGAAAAGATAATTAAATTATTTCACAATTAAATTACGATCGTTTTTTTATCGTTGGAAGAAAAGAAATCAACTAAACAATGTCTTAAATTGTTGATTGTGGATCAAACTGCTTGGAGCCAATAACAAGAATCATCATTTAGAATGAATCTGGTTTAGGTAATCAAATATAGATACTAATTTAAAATGACCTTCGAAACAGGTAAGTGAATGAAAAAAGAGTTAAAACTAATCATTAGAAGCCTTAAATCATTCAGGTAATCAAATAAACAGAGAAATCAACTGAACTGTGTAATTTTTGTTTCTTGTATTGATGAAAATTCATCAACAAGGAAAAAAAAAGGATTAGAATCAAATTGAATTGACACTCAAGAATCGTGGAAACGAATGAAATTTCATCTCATTATTTACAATCTATTGAAATTGTAGACAATCAAGTTTAATGTTCCACGATTAATGAAGACAATTAAGATTGATAATAAAGTTCTAACAATTGGAAATGTAATTTAGACCAATAAGATTTAAAGTAGAAAAGAAAAGTGTTAAATTGCTGTTAGTTGATCGCATTTAATTGTTGCAAGGATTCATATAAATGGTTAGGCAATTACTTACCTTTATTTAAAAGATATTCAACTATAGCCAATTGTCCATGAATGACCGCTAAATGAAGTGGACTTTTCCCTTGGAAATTAAGCCGATCAATGGGTTCACCAAGGTCTACCAAACATTTAACTGCCTCCGGGTTTCCCTGTTCAATGGCAACATCGAGTAAGGATTTCTTTGTGTACCTGAACATTGATCCATAGTAAAGGGACACAATATGAATGGCCGATGTTAACAGGTTATCCTTGGATTCTGAGGCTTTCCGATTTCAAGAGGAACAAAATTTCAACAAATCCGATGCAGAAAAAGGTAATGACCGGATTATTAAGATTCCAGCGAAATGAAAATGCGAAATGAAAACACACCAAACAATTTCATTTCAGATTAAACAAGGAACCAGATATGAATCAGAACAATCACCCAAGACCATCGGCATCAAAACCAGAGAGGAAATAATTGTCCAACAATTAAGATTTTAATTTGTAAACCAGAAAAAAACATCCAAAGGAGAAAGTGTTGAGTTGTAAAAACAAATGGAAAGAGGGAAAAATATATAAGAAAGAACAATAAATTATTCGGTAAACAATATAATCGGACAAGAAATTAAAGGTACTTTGTTGATTAATAATGTACCTTGACAGTGGTAATGAAAATGTTATAGAAAACAAGGAAAAATATTGAATTAAATTGTTGAAAAAACGGGGAAACAATCAAATGATTTAAACTTTTGCAGAAACAAAGACTTACCCGAAACATTGACCAACAGAGTTAACAGGAATCTCGCTGCGTAGATCATAAATCTATCTGCCATCCATGATAAATTCGAATTTATATCATCATAAGTAACCATATTTGATTATCATTTTGAACAATTTAAATCAATCAATATTCCTGATTGATTTAATGAAAACATTTTCATACAAATAAAAATGAAAAGTGAAAACAAGTTTTCAAGGCGGAGCTTCAACTCGACCGCCGATTATCCCAAACTGACACCTGACGGATTGTTAACCAACTAAATTCGCAATTAATGATTAACAATTAATCAAAATGATCAGATGATTTGTTAACATCACTCGTTGATTCAGTTGATTAATTCATCCATACGGCTACTATTTGAGTTGATTGTTCGAAATGCTTAATAATTAGTCACAATTATCAACGAATAGTTTGAGTTGATTTGTTGATTCAGTTCTGATTTAGCTTGAAATTTAAATTTCTCATCTGACAGATTTGATTAGTGGCTGAATAACTGACACCTTAGCTTTAATTGCAAATTTGATTGAAAGTTGATTGATAAATATGAAAACTGTAAAATTAACTTAATCTGATTTGTGTTAAATTAAAAGTTGATTAGTTGATTTTTACTAATTATTGTTGATTTAATCATTGAATCAATATTCATCTTGTCAAACTGGATTTGATTTGATATCATTAACTGTTATCAAGAAAATAATTGATTTCTTATTAGATAATAATTATTACATTGTATTAATTAATTTGTAAATTCTAGTGATCAATATAATTAAATAAATTTAACGTTCCTTCAGGATGATTAACTAATTTTGACCAAATTACCTTTTGTATTAATTTGTTAATTGTGGACATACAACTTGGTGGGTCTTCATTTTTTGCTTCAATGAAATGATTGGTCACAATTAAATTAATTCAAATGACTTTTTAATTAATATTTACAATTGATGATTACAAATTAATATTGATAAAATTAAATCACTTCAATTAATCATTGATAGTTGATCAACAATGGCAAGGGATTTGATGATGATGATGATGACAAGAGGACTGGAAAATAATCAATTTTGATTGCTGTTGATGATTGTTACGATAAAATCATTAGCTAAATTAATTGATTAGCTAAAAGTTAACTAACAATTAAATTGATGATTAAATCAAATGTATAAATTGTAAAAACCTAAAGGATTTTGATCAAAATTATATTACAAAGACCTAATCCTTGATATTTTTGATGATTAAAAGATGATACAAATTGTGATGAAAATGTTACAATTAATTAAATTGCAATTTTGCATAATTAAAATAAGTGAGTTAATTAATTTTTGGCACTGGAAGAGGTTTCAAAAATTGATTTAGTCTTTTTTCCAGTCACTTGTTTCATAAACAAAAAATAATTGATATCCTTAATTAAGATGGATGGTAATTAATTAACTATCCTGATTAAGGTTCTCCAACTGATTAAATTAAATTACAATTCAGTTGTTTTACCATCACGGGTCAATAGGGTTCGTCCATCAGTAAACATTGGTGAGCGATTGTCATCTCTAGATGAATGAAAAAGAGAAACGGACAATTAGTTAATTTTGATTGATTGTTGTCCATCACTAATTACTTACAATAATTTATAATAAAGTGGCGTTTTTAGATTTGATTTAAGGCCTTCATTGGATGAAGATGAACCTGAACTTTCGGGTCTACTGGTTGACCTTGATGAAGAAGATTTATCATTGACGGTGCTTGTAACGGTACTTGGTGAGTGATTATTGTAAGCTCGAGATCTCGGCATGTAGGATACATTGGACATTAGATCTCGAACTGAGATGAGACCTCGAAGGGAGGTTTTATCGCTTTCCAATGGTGTTGAAGATGAAGATGAGGATGAGTGAGTTGATGAAGAAAGATGATGACCATTGTAACCACCGCGTTCTATTCCTCGGCCGCCCATTTCGTCGTCAATTTTCATGTCCATGTGAAGAACTTGAGTTTCATATTGTTTACCATTATTGGCGAGGATTGATGAGCTTGTCACAGTTTCGGCGGTATAAATGGGATCGTAAAGTCGAGGTGGTGCCGGTGACATCATAACTCGTTTAACTTTACCCCCACCAGGCTTGGAAATAGTTGATCCGGTGGTTGGGGCGGATGAACTTTTTGAACTAGATCCACATTGGTAAACGATTCCCGCACAGCCACAGACTGCGATCGCAGCAGCTAAGACAATTAGTCCAAGTCCTAAATTGTTTATATCGGAATTCATTGGAATTGGGACAACTGCAGCCGTTGAAACAATTATTGGTACATAGGGAGATCGAACTGTCAAAGTTGAACTGGCCAATCCAAGGCCTGAAGTTAACGCTTGAATCAGTGAGTATTTAATTTTAACATCAGACAAAATTGATTCAATCTTTGGATCATCAGTTGGTAAAATTTTCAATGTCGAAGGGTCAATCAAGTGGATCCAAATATCTGTCCCGGTTACATCTGATTCAATTGTATGGTTTCGTTGGATTTTCAGTGACTCAGCCTTTTCCCAGCCCGTTATCAGGCCAGTTCGGTCTTGAATTATTTGTAAAAATTGCTCCTTTGATTCTTGAGCACGACCAGTTGAAGTATCACGAAGTACGAAGATAAGTCGGTGTTTATCTTCAATCAGATTAACAATGACCTCAGAAGATTCAGAAAGTGAGGACGATTGAAGCTGTGGATTATCACGGACAATAACCTCAAGTCGAAGCGGTAACTGGCTTGGAGGAATATCTTCCATGGGGCGAGAGGTTCTTAATATTCCCGAACCAGGTTCAATTTTGAATCGACCCTGAGGATCCGAGGAAGGAATCAGTGAGTAAGTGATAATACCATTAGCAATTGAATCGGAATCAGTTGCTTTCAATTGAGCTACTTGAGAATCAGCTGGTGCATCAGATGAAATGGCGGCAATGTAACGATCGCGAGTAAGGTGTGAATACCGACCAGGGACATGGAAAACAGGCTTATTATCGTTAACATCCATAACATTGATAACAATTTGCGTCATCAATCTTGAGAATCCAGCTAAACCGGCGATACTATTTAATCGCAAGGTCAACATGTAACGTGATTGATGTTCATAGTCGAGTGGCTCTTTAATACGAATCTCACAATCTTGATTACTATTTTCAACGATACTGAATTTATCCTCATCATTACCGGAAATTATTTCACAGGTAAAAGTGAAATGACTTCGAGGTTTATTCATGATTGGTAATGTTTTAACTATGGTGCTACTGGGAGTGTTTTCGTCAATTTCAACACTGGAAAAGAGGAAGACAGGAATTAGTTTATCATTAAATTCTTAACAAATTAATTAACTTACGTATATTTAGAATCGGCAAAACCAAGACCAGGATCAGGGGAAGGGGTCGCAATGTGATCCACAAACACGGTTAATGTTGCTGAAGCGGATAAAGATGGACTTCCATTGTCACGAGCTATAATATCGATCTAAACAATTGACGAAAGATTAAGATAGTTAATTATATTAAAA